TTTTTTGGAAGGACAAATCATTATCCACTGTTAGTGGGAGTTTAAAATGGTGCATTAACTATGGAAATGAAAATAGAGGTCCTTCAACAGTCTAATTGCTCTAGCAAGGACTTCAAGTACTAGAGCAATTAGACAAATAAAGGAGATCAAGAGAATTCAGTTCAGAAAGGAAGAAGTCAAAGTATCACTATTTGCAGATGATATGATAGTATATATGAGTGACCCACAAAATTCTACCAGGTAACTCCTACAGCTGATAAACACCTCCAGCAAAGTAGCTGGATAAAAAAAATTAACTTAAAAAAATCAGTAGCCCTCCTGTATACAAAAGACAAAAGGGCTGAGAAAGAAATTAGGGAAACAACACCCTTCACAATAGCCACAAAGGACATAAAGTACCTTGGTGTAACTCTAACCAAGTAAGTAAAAAAAAAAATTATATGAAAAAGCTTTCAGTCTCTGAAGGAAGAATTAGAAGAAGATATCAGAAGATGGAAAGATCTCCCACGCTCATGGCTTGGCAGGATTAACATAGTAAAAATGGCCATCTTACCAAAAGCAATCTACAGATTCAATGCAATTCCCATCAAATTACCAACACAATTTTTTATACAGAACTTGAAAGAAAAATCCTCAACTTCATATGGAATAACAAGAAACCCAAAATTGCTAAAATAATCCTCTGCAATAAAAGATCTTCTGGAGGTCTCTCCATCCCTGAACTCAAGCTGTACTATAGAGCAACAGTTATAAAAACTGCATGGTACTGGCATAGAAACAGAATGATGGATCAATGGAATCAAATAGAAGACCCAGAAATAAACCCACACACTTGTGGATACCTGATTTTTGACAAAGATGCCAAAACCATATAATGGAAAAAAAGATAGTATCTTCAACAAATGGTGCTGGACTAACTGGATGTCTACATATAGAAAAATGCTCACAAGGGGAGCAACAGAACCAAAAAAAAATCTGTGCCAGGGGTCTTTTCTGAGACTGATACCCCAAACAAGGACCATGCATGGAGATAACTTAGAACCCCTGTAGAGAAGTAGCCCATAGCAGGTCAGTGTCCAAGAGGGTTCTCCAATAAAAGACCAGGGACCATCTCTGACATGAACTCAGTGGCTGGCTCTTGGATCACCTCCACCTGAGGGGGGAGCAGCCTTACCAGTCAGCAGAGGAAGACAAAGAAGCCAGTCCTGATGAGACCTGATAGACTATGGTCAGCTGGAAGGGGAGGAGGACCTCCCCTATCATTGGACTGGGAAGGGACATACGAGATGAAGAGGGAGGGAGATTGGGACTGGAAGGGAATGGAGGAGGGGGGGTATAGTTGGGATACAAAGTGAATAAACTGTAATTAATAAAATAAAATAAAATAAAATAAAATAAAATTTAAAAAGTCTAAAAGCAAAACTTCTATAGACCCAATGAAACTGCTCCTGTATATATGCCCCAAATAGTTAAATCCTTCCAAAATAATATCTATAATCCATATTTATTGGTGTAGTACTCATAAGATCTAAAACATGAGACAGCCCAGATGCCCAACCATGGATGAAGTAAAGTAGCTGGATAAAAAAAATTAACTTAAAAAAATCAGTAGCCCTCCTGTATACAAAAGACAAAAGGGCTGAGAAAGAAATTAGGGAAACAACACCCTTCACAATAGCCACAAAGGACATAAAGTACCTTGGTGTAACTCTAACCAAGTAAGTAAAAAAAAAATTATATGAAAAAGCTTTCAGTCTCTGAAGGAAGAATTAGAAGAATAATCCATATTTATTGGTGTAGTACTCATAAGATCTAAAACATGAGACAGCCCAGATGCCCAACCATGGATGAAGAGAAATGGGGCACATTTGCACAATGTAATTTCATTCAACTATTGAAAAATAAAATCATAGCATTTTTAATAACAATGGATAGAAATGAAGATCATTCTGTTCAGGAAAACCAACTAGACTCAGAATGACAAACCCCATATTTTCTCTCATACATGGTTTTAGATTTTAATGTTTCCACATATAATTGCTTATTGTTCTTGAAGCTAGACGAGTCCATGATAGAAGAGAAAGAGATGAGAGAGAAAAGAAGAATAAAAGTGCAAAGGGGCACTATTGGTATGGAAAGGATGAGCCACTAGGAGAAAAGGGATGACGAAGATGAGTAGAAAAAGACCAACAATAACAAGGTCAGCATCAAATATTACAACAAAACCCATTACTATGTATTCTAAATTAAAAAAAAAACCTATTAAACAAAAATACATTGTTTATTTATATAAGAATGCCTATCCCCACATCTCTCCTCTGAAACGTTGTGAGGTCCTTGACCATGTCAGTGTGTGACAGAAAGATAGACCACTTCACAGGAATCTTAGAAAGATAATTCTGCCAACGAGAAAATGATAAAATTTAAGATTGTTACCAAAATGAGATCCTAAAACAGTGTCACCCAAGAGAAGCTGGAAGGCGTGCCTTAATGGAGTAGAAAATGTACAATGATGACAAGGTCTGCAGCCAATGTCATAACAAAACCCCCCATTACTATGGAGGCTATCTTAAAAACTGTGCTGATCAGCTGTGTGGCTGTGAGGGGTTCTGAACGCTTCCAGCCTGCTCTGAGGACCCAAGGCCAAAAGTCACCTGCCTGAAGGTGTCTACAGGGCTGGCGCTAGGTTTGGAAATAAGAGAGCACTGTGGTGTGAATCCTACACAGAGATGCTTATGCAAGAAGTTGTCGGACCAGTTTGTGGACTCCTGCAATCTCAGTGTAGAGTCCAGACAGTTTAGATAAGGCAGGGTAAACTGTGGATGAGGGTGGCTTAGTGACCTCCTGAGAAGCCCGCAGAGCTCTTTGGAAAAGAAAGATTGTGCTCTTCTGGGATTATACAATCGAGTGAGAGGAATTTGCTGCCCATCTCCGGGACTGGGACAGGATCATTGTAGCCCGTTTGTCACAGGCTGGAGACCTCGCTGTCCCGGGAGCCTGTAGCCTTCTACCATGTGTCTCTGTGCTTTGATCCTGGTGTTGCTTGCAGTTTTCACAGCAGAGGGTGAGTCTTTGTAATACAAAATTGGCAGGGGTAAGTGGGGGGGGGGGGCACGCTTCAAAATGCTAACGCCGGGACAGTCTGGCAGAGGTGAGCATAGTGTGAGAGAGCCTAGGCTCTGCTCTGTAGCAGTTTGCACGCTCTAGGCAAGCATCGCTGACCAGCTAGTGGAGGGAGTGAACATGCTGAGTCATAGAAGGACAAACAAGCAGAGGCCTGAGATCACGTGACAGGTACAGCAGGGCAAGGAGTTAGCCCCATGTGTCTGAGGGGGGGGTAGGAAAGCTGCTTCTTTCCTCCTTAATTATTAGCCTACATTTTGTTTGATCATGGAAAGAAGCTTAGTAAGAAATTCTGAATCCCAGGCTCAGTATTTCCACGCCACTTATCTTCAGGCAGAGTACACAGTTAGATGAACTTTTGTATTCCTGTCTTCACAGAAAGGGTGACGGTGGCGGCACCTTCCCCGATGGTCACTGTGAGGATGCCTTAGGTGTCCCCTTCCACAGTACTTAGGGCAGGACTAGGCTAGAGGAGGTGTGGGAAGGAGGTAGATAAACGAGGGGGTTGATTGAAATGAAGTATATCAGGGCTAAGGAGCTGGCTCCTCACAAGGTAAAGCACTGCTGTGCAAGAATGGGGAACTGAGTTTGAATCCCCAGAATCCTCTTGGAAGTCTAGTGTGCATCTGCAGTCCCAGTGCTCCTGGGCCAAGACGGGAGGTGAAGACAGGAGAAACCCGGAAGCTCCTCGCCCGGCTAGCCTAGTGTACACAATGGCAAACAACAATTCAGGAACCATGTTTTAAACAAGATAGTGGGTGAAGCACAGTGTCTGTGGTGGTCCTCTGACCTCCACATGTGCGCCACTGCGTGAACACACACACCTCTGCATGCACATGCATCATACATACACACATACTACAATTATAATAAAAGAAAGCGAAGAGTATTAACAGGTAGTCGGAGGCGTGGTCATGTCATCACATTAGAGACGACGGTCACTAAAACAATCCTTGGTTAATCTTGGCTCCCAGAGGAAAGGTTCATCACTGGGGTGGGTGTGACAAAAGAAGAGCACCAGGGACAGTTGTGAGGTGGGAGGACATAGACAGGATTTTCCTTCAAGTATCTTCTGAAGGAATGAGTGAAGCCATATAAGCAGTGTTGATTTTAAATCATTTTAAGGACCAACATGTAATGGAGTCCACAGTTGGGTGTGTATGACTGTGTGTGTGTGTGTGTGTGTGTGTGTGTGTGTGTGTGTGTGTGTACGTACGTGTGTACGCACACACAAGTGCTTTTCTTTGGTTACTTTTTTCTTTTTAGGTGTCGTTTTATTTTGTTTTCTTGGTTTGGGGGGTTGCTAATGTTGTATTGGGGTTTTGTTTGTTTGTTTCTTTGAGAAAGAACTTTAAATTAGGCATAAAGGGATGGAGAAAGAAAATGGAAGGACTTGGGAAGGGGGAAGAATATGATCAAAATTTAAATTGTAAAACTTTTAAATAATTTTTAAAATATCAAGGGATTCTGGGTCATGGGCTACCTTAGTTGTCTTACGCTTGGTTGTAAGGCAAGATGGCATGTAAGACAGTACAGCCCAGGAGGTGAGACATGAATAAAAGAGGTTTATAGAGTAGTGGTTCTGGATTTGATGTACCCATGGACCACAGTTCCCACAGGGTCAGGAAAGCCACTTGTGTCAAAGCATCAAATAAGCAAATTAAATTCATGGTTAATACATACTGGATCTCAGTGCTATCTGTAACATCTTACCAATTGAGGTGTTGAGATCCATAGGGCCATGGAAACTCCCAACATCACCTTAGTCTATCTGTGGCTCCTGAATCCAGAGCTGGTGTTTGGCTACCAGAACACTGGAAGCCTAGAATCTGTTTAGATTTTTTTTTCTTCTTTCTGCACACGTGGTGCTATGAGAAGCCAGGAGCTGAGGGCAAAGCAGAGAAAAGAGCCAGGTTTGGAGTGGAGCATTCTTTGATCCTGGTCATGCCGCTTCCATCTTAGGAGGGTCACAGAAGCTGTTTGCAAGTTCCTGTTGTTCTTCTCATAAGTGGGCTCGTTTTTGATTACCTAGTAAAGTCTCTTGGAGAAATAAAGGACCTGGAAGGTCCTCCAGCACATTGAGATTGCTCAAGAGGTCGATGCTTGCACATTCCACACAATGAAAGCTGTAACTGCTGTAGGTAGCCTTGTTCATAACCTCAACTTGAACCAAACACCTATAATGCTGAGAAGATTGGTTTCTAACCACTGAACCTCAGTGGGATATTGGTATTGGCCTAATGGAGGTCACACCCTGGTCTGCTCAGACATTAATCCTCTCCCCTCTTTGAAGCCCTCAGCATCCGCCATAGCCTATTCCCCCTCTCCCAGCACCTCTGTGGGGCTGTGCTTTTGTCTTCATGCCCTGTGGTAGACATTCTTACCCTCAGCTGTGGCTTTCCCTGTGATTTCACTTCCAGCCCTCCTCTCCCTTCACAGCGACCCTGTCAGAGGAGTTTCACACATCCCTGCCATGCACTCTGACCTTTACTTACCTCTTTTCCTGACTGTCAGTGCTGAGCACTCATGGCTAGGGCATCATCTTATGACATCTCACCAGCTTTTCCATAGGACCAGATTCACACTGAGCCAGCATCGGATCCTGATATGGAGTCTTCTTTCTTTCCCTTGACCTCAACACTGGTCAAGGATCAGTTCTTCATTCTCATTTATTTATTTCTCATATTTACTTTTGACATTTTCCTCCTAGTTATAAAAATTACTCAGTGTCTAGTACAAAACAACTCACATTGTCATTATCCACAGACATCCTAATACAAAGTATTCCAGAAAGTTTTTCTTTAAGGGACTTGATGATAATTCATAACCAGAAAAGGAGGGAAGCATTTGGGTTTGTTTTGATCACACGAAGCCTGGGTACAGATTTGTAACCTGCTTTTCATAAAGTTTCCAGTACTAATGGCTGTTTTTCTTTATATAAATTATTTATACTTATGATGATGTCATGTCCTGATAATCTAATAATCATAAAGAAAAGTCATCAAAGCGTAATCTGAGGCTATATAAACATCTTTCAAAAATTAACTTAGTACTTTATAATAATTAACAAAAAAACAACAGCAAGAGACAACTTAAATTTCTGCAATATTTAAATTGTAAATACTGTGCTCTTCCAGACCCTGTTCTGTTCAGTGTCTTCAGTATAAAATTTTCAAATAAATGGGTTATTCTTCTGTTGGATAGAATCCTGGAGTCATTTTTCTATTCTGCCTCACATGCAGAAGGAAGTATGTTTTCAGTATCAAGGTGGGAGCAGTTGGAAGAATGAGAGAAAAGCTACTGATAAGGGGTGCTCTGATGCACTGAGGTGGTTGACCATGAAAGTGAAGACATGGGTGATCATGAAAAGGTGTGTAGAAACCCCCCCCCCTTGAAGCAGGATCAGGGTGATTCCCTCCCGCAATACACAGGATTTGGGGCAGAAAGAGATGCAGAGAAGTGAGAAGGATTGTCCACTCTAGGGTAGCGGAGTATATAATATAGAAGGTTCACCTCTGGATGATCCAGCTCAGAGCCAATGGAGGAATGTGCTAGAACATAATCGTTTCTTTTACAGTTGTTCATACTTTGTTTTCATCCACTGGGTAGGACACAAGCCTGGACTTTGAAGTCCTCCATTACAGGCACATTCTCACTGCTCTACGACCTTTAATTGCTAGGGCTTTGCTTGGTGTATTCAGATGCCACTCAAGCATCCCTGAAGGCCCTCTGTTCTACTGTATATGAGTTGTTACTGTTCTTCTGCATCTTCTTGGCTCTCCCTCCACTTATGCCTTCCCCTTTTACTCCTCCACCTGTTACAAGTCACAGCTCTTCCTTTGGGACAAAAATCAGAAGTGTACACTCCTAGGACATGTATTTCAACTCAGCATTAAGCCAAGTGTATCTTTGATCCTTTCTTGAGAGGAGAAGCCTCCTATCCATCCTCTTGTCCACCATGCAGCTTAACACTGGGAGCTTTTTATTATTATTATTATTTTAAGACAAGGTCTGTCTGTGTAGCTCTGGCTGTCCCGGAACTCTGTATGTAGAGCAGGCTGGCCTTGAGCTCACAGAGATCTGTCTTTCTCTGCCTCCTGAGTGTTTAAATTAAAGATATGTGTCACTATTCTGGGACAGTACCAGGTTCTTAATGAATTTCCAGAGACTTTTGTGGATGATACTGAAGGTCTCAAGTATTCCTAACAGCCACCACTCTTTCACATTGAGTTTTGCTTACATGCTTTTCTGTGTGCGGCTCCAGTTTCCTCTTCCATCAGCTCCCTAAAATAAGGACCGTTTTCTTCATCATTATTTTACATGAGAAGATAGTGAGGCTTACAGGGCTGAGGCTATTCATTCAAGGATCATGCTTAGAAAGGGGGGAAACCCGTTAAAACTCCGGATTTGAGTTTTCCTCTCCAATGTATCCTCATTTTCTCTTGTCCAGCAAGACACCCGTCCTCACCACCTGTGGTGGACACTGTTCATGGCAAAGTCCTGGGGAAGTACGTCAGCTTAGAAGGATTCACACAGCCTGTGGCCGTCTTCCTGGGAGTCCCCTTTGCCAAACCTCCTCTTGGATCCCTGAGGTTTGCTCCACCACAGCCTTCAGATCCCTGGAGCTTCGTGAAGAACGCCACCTCCTACCCTCCTATGTAAGGAGCTGGGGTGGGCCTGGACCTATTTGGGGGAATTTTTGTCTTGGAATGACGTAGGAAGAAGTCAACATAGTACTCTAACTGGCTTCTGCTTTGCTCTGGAGTCAGGCGCATTGTGGAAGACTTTAGCTTCCTGAGTCCCAGCTCTGCTTTGCAGAGAGACTTTTTCTCTTTGTGCCTGGAGTACGTGTGTGTTTCCTCATCCCTAACAAAAGCCTTTCAACTGCTGGAAATAAAAAGAACACTGTGGAAGCTTGGAGCACTTAGAACTGCACAGCTTTCTAGAGCCCTTTCTTCATCACGCACTTGAGCTCCTGCTGTTTTATAGTTTTTGTTGTTTATTTTACCGATGCTTGCCACAGGAAAGTTAGGAAACTCAAGACACGAAGGTGAAAAAAGTAAACCCACCCAGGATGTTACCCAGACACAAGTGTCACTGCCATCTGACGTGTTTCCAGTCTCTTGACTGTCACACACCTCTGCAGCTGTGATGAGTGTGTGTCTCACTTATGCTGGCAACATCACTCACTCTCTACTTTTAACCACCTTATTTTCAGCATCACACTGTATTACACTCATCCAGTCTTTACCTTCTTGTGATGAAGCTGGTATTGTTGATATATGATCTATATGAACTGTGGGAACTAGTCCACATACTCATGAATACTTTAGGATAAGTCCCAAAGAAGTAGAATCATTGAACTAAAGACTATGCCTTAGAGTGTCCCCATCAACAAACTCCGCCTAAACCTTAGACTTATTGAAATAATTTTGTCCTGCCTTTGGAGAAACAAATAATATGTGATAATCATAGCAATAATAAATATAATCTCAGTCTTTATTTTGTGTTGAAATCTAGTGAACTTAACTGATTCCTCTTTTGACATTTGAGTTACTACCTTTATGACTATTATACCCTTTACCCTCCATAATGTAAGAAAAGTTTCCAGAATGAAATGTTGATCCATTTCTGCCACCTAACAGCTGTGTCATCTTGACATATGAGGACCTCAGCAGCTGCTTCTATATGCTAAGAGCAATAATGCTTGGCTCCTGGGTCCATTGAGATCTAGGGATATGACTTGTAGTGTACTGGGAATATAAGTAGTTCACAGCATGGGACTTCGAGGTGGGGAGATGTTTAATCGGTTCTCCATCCTCCCTGTGCCTTGTTTTCTCAGCTATGAAATGAGGATGAAGATGGAGCCCACAGCGGAGCTCACCTAAAACATTAATGAGTGAGCACATAATTTAGACCCATGCCTAGATCACTGGGAAACTTCAGTAACATTACTAACTCCACCCTTGAATGGCCTCTGAGGTCTTTTAAGAGGGCAAAACGGGTTACTTCATTAATTAATGGTAGAATCTTAGCAGGCCATGGCTGCAAATCTCTTGGACATAGGAGTCTCCTTAGTGAGACCTGGCAGATTGGGACACGGGTCAGGGAAGTCCCAGGATCATCCATCTTATCAGTGGGTGAAGCTGAATTACCGATGAGATGCTGCTGAGTATCTCATCAGTCTTAGTCTGCCAGTTGAGGGCATTTCTGTGGCTGATGGCAGTCCCCCGAGGGCTAGAGCGTGTTCATCTGGTAGAGAAACTCAGTCTACTTTGCAGCCCACTGTACAAAGCCTAGCAGATCATGGGACCCTGTCTAGGCAGTGCGTGGAGTGTCATCTCCAAGAACAAGACAGCATTTAAGCACCTATGTCATTGGCCAGGCAGATCTAAGACTCTGGGAAGGGATTCATAGTAAATCCTTCTCTTGCTGTAAGACAATGAGATTGAGCCCCAGGGCTCCCATGGGATCCTGCGTTATCTCCATGCCAGTGTCTCCATCAGCTGATAGCAACTCACGGAGTTGCCTCTCCCCGTGCAAGGCCTTTGCCAGGTAATGCTTCCAGGTTGCATCTGGTGGAAACTCAGATGTTCTCTTTCCCCTCCCAGGTGCTCTCAAGATTCAGAGACAGGGAAAATAGTCCATGACCTCCTAACCAACAGGAAAGAGAGCATTCCTCTCCAGTTTTCTGAAGACTGTCTTTACCTAAATATTTATACTCCTGCTGACTTGGCAAAGAGTAACAGGCTGCCGGTAAGTCGTGGGACTCCTCCAACCTTCTGAGTTTCAGCATCTAGCTCCTCTGTACAACCAGGGGGATTGAGGACAGCTAGGAAAAGGGACACCACAGGCATGAACTGATTCAGAAGCCCAAGGCTTCCATCCATCAGAGAAGACACTTCCCCTTGATTTCCCCAAGAAAGTCAAGTAATGGTGCGTGCCTTTCATGTCCACTGAGATCTGGGAATGTTGCTTGTGACTCATTGCAAGAGTCTTCAAAGAAGTGCAACATGGAGTAGTTTTTCTGACTCCCTGTGCCTTTGTTTCCTCATTTATCAAACTGGTGTTTGGGAAAGACAACCTTACAGGTAGAATTTAATCTTCTCTGGCCTTTTCACACAAATAGAAGGAAAAACTGATTAGCCATAGTACTGCTGCTCAGGTGACTGCAGTACTTTTGCCCTAGGAATTGTGGGTCAGTAGGAAGAGAAACTACTTCTAACAGCATTTGTGGAGGTGGCCCACAACTAGGGGCGAGTATTTTGCTGTGTTCCAGATGTTGGGAACTGGAGCTACTAGCCCTATGATCACAAATGTTATAGCTGTTTTGCAGTTATAGAAGTTAGGGTCCCCTTCCCCCTGAAAGTAGCCTCCAGGCCACACTCCCTCCTCTGGGTAAGAACTAGCATTTTAGTTAGATATTGAGATTCTCCAGAACTATACCACAGTGAGCATTACAGCTTTCAGGCCTGTATATCAGAATTCCCAAGGCCCTGAAAGCAGCTCTTGCTATAGCTCCAGCCAGGAACAGGCTGTCCATAAGATCCAGGAACTCTCTGGAGCGCTTCCAGCAGCTGAGACTGTAGTTTTTCTTCTTTTGCTTTTGTATCCCTGTTCCTCTATAAGTCTCATCTCTCCACCCTCTCTCCTCCTTACTTCTACCATGCCTCTTCTCTCTGTCCTTACTATTCTCTGGGGCATTTCAGTTGCCTTTCACTGCTACTGTCATTGCTGTGGCTGTCATTTCTGGGGTGGTTGCTACTGCTGCATTTTGCTACTACTGATGCTTCTGCTGTCGTTGCTAATGCCATGACATCTGTTGGATCTGTTACTGACACACTGATGGCTTCTAATGCTTCTATCAACTCTGCCATTCTGCTGACACAGCTGTGCTGTCCCCAGCTTCCATAGTGCCTGCCTCTGACACTGTAGTAGCCACAGAATGTTCCTCTGGCTCCGATGCTGTTGTTTCCACTGTCATGAATTCTTCTCCTTTCTTCCGATCTCCCCCTCAGCTTACTGGGCTAGTAGTGGATATCGAGATAGGCAAGAGGGAAAAGAGTGTAGCTTAGTGTAGATAGCTGCCTGGATGCTCAAAGTCTTGAGTTTGACCCCTGCATCAGAAGAAAAAGAAGTGAGAAGTGCACTCTAGAGAAGTGTTTGCTTCATATATGCAAACCCAGCACCTAAGAGGCTAAGGGAGAAGCATTTGGGGCAAATTTGACGTCAGCCTGGGCTACATAGCAAGTACCAGGCCAGCCATGGTTACATTGTCTTAAAAATCAAATCCTTATCTCAGGGAGTTAGAGAGAGAAGAGGAAAAAAGGAAGAAGAGGATGGGGAAGTGGAAGGAGTGAAGAAGTTGAGGGGGAAGAGGAGAAAAAGGAGAGACCCTTTATTGGGTTTACTATTGAGGCACAGATGGGACTATGCTTCCCTCACTGGGTCACTTGTTCCTTCATCCTTTTGTTGCACTCAGTGTCACCATGTCCACAGTCAGACACAGAGTCTGAGAAAGATGAACATAAGCCATCGACACAAGGCCCTGTCACGAGAAGTGTACAATGCAGGAGTGAGCATGGCATCATTGGTTTTAGATGTTCCCATAGTGATGTTTTCAGTTTAAAGAGACCTATAAAAACAGGGCCCATGAGTCTTGGAAGAAAGGCAAGAAATTATGAGTGGAATGACTTTGTAGGCCCCAGCAAAGAGGAGGAAAGGCTTCCTGATATAGCCTTGCTAGGTAGTGGTTTGGCTTGGATGAAGGTCTCTTTGAGTCACCCTAGATTTAGGCAACCAGACTAGACCAATTCTATGGCCTTTCTGAGGTGGTTTCTAATAATCTGCGTTGTTGTGTTCTTTTCCAGGTGATGGTTTGGATCCATGGTGGTGGACTAGTGTTGGGTGGGGCATCCACCTATGATGGACTAGCCCTGTCTACCTATGAAAACGTGGTGGTGGTAGTCATTCAATACCGCCTGGGCATTTGGGGATTCTTCAGGTAGAGCCTGAACTCTTTTCTACAACTAATGGCTATATTAGTCTTATTTGTTTTCTTATTATATATCAGAATATCAGATCTTGTGATATTTATAAGGAAAATATTTATTGAGTTAATTTAAAAAGCTGATCATCCAAGATATGTTTCCCCCCTTCTGTTTGAGTTCTGGTATGGGCTCTTATTGAGATCAACTGCAGCATGCAGAAGAAATCACATGATGAGACACACAGCTAGAGGGAGAAGTTGGGAAAGTCTTGCTCTTTTCATAACTGGCTCACTAGGAACTAACCTTGGTCCCATGAGTTCAGCATGCCCAAGGGCAGTACACCTAGTAGCTTAATGACCTTCCTTCCACTGGGCCTCACATTTTACAGGTTCTATTACTTAATGTTCTTTTACATGATCACACTGAAAATGTAACAACTGCCAGATCAATCACCAGGGCTTAGCTCTGGTAACACCAAGTGTTTTAGAGACCTACGTTATGCTCCTTCACAATGCAGCCTGCTCCTTCGTTAATGGTCCATACCTGTCCATAAATTCTCCACTTAGGACACTTGCTTCTGAGCTGATTGATGTATTGTTCTATCTGCAATTCCAGGCGCAGATAACAGCTATTTTCAGACCACACCTTGCAGAGTGAGCACGTTGCTCTAGGAGGTGGCTGAGTTACACCATGCCTCTGTTATTGCAGGCAGAGAAAAAAGAACAAACCCAAGCGCTCTCTCTCTCTCTCAACCTCTCTCTCTCTCTCTCTCTCCACTCCACATCTAATCAATATCTAACCAACATCTAACCAACTGTTTAGTCCTTTTGGCTCCACCTTCAAAACAAACTGATTTCATCTCCTTCTCATCTACTCTAATTGAAGTCTTACAGTTTAGAACTTGGTTATTGTTATAAGCAGTGGTTTTCATAAACTTGTTACTTTTAAGGCATGTGTTTTCTACAGAGTGGACAGAAGTGGACACAGGTTGAATCATATCTTTCTTCTGCAAATGGTTTCCACACACTTATAACGACAAAGAACCCCTTGCCAAGGCTTCCAGCACCTGTTCTGCCTGTACCTGCTGCTAGATACACTCAGACCTTTGTTCCCATGCCCCAGAGGTCGTTGCAGCTGCTTCTTACAATGGCAGTAATACTTTATGATATTCGTAAGCCTGCCTACATTCTCATTTTATTCAGGTCTCTATTAGCTACCAGTGCTTCTGAGAGGCCTTTCTTGTTCCCATAGTATGACATCTGCCCGAACTCCCACCCCTGCATCTTCTGCAAGCTGATTTTATTATTTTTCAAAGAATTTTCATTGCTTGATACCAAAACTTCTTTCCAGCTGTTGACTATGCTCTGCAGTGTGAAGTGAATACAGCCAGAAGTTGGAGATTTTGGCTGTCTGCTTTCCAGATAAGCTCTACCTAGCTCTTAGACTACACAGTTTCTGGAAAATGAGTGTAGAGCCCCAGATCTACATCTGCCTTTGCTAGAGAGGTGAAAGGCAGGTGAAGATACGAGTCAGGAATGTAGGGCCCAGCTTATTTCACTGAGACCACCAGCCTACTTCTAGCTCTGAGAGTCCAGCCATGACAAACCCATCTTCACCTTGGTTTCCTTCAGCACAGGGGATGAACACAGCCGGGGGAACTGGGGCCACTTGGACCAGGTGGCCGCACTGCGCTGGGTCCAGGACAACATCGCCAACTTTGGAGGGGACCCAGGTTCTGTGACCATCTTCGGCGAGTCAGCAGGAGGTGAAAGTGTCTCTGTTCTTGTGAGTGTTCCTGGCAGCAGGCCTTATTTAGGCATGATATCTGCTGATAGGATCCCTTGGAGACTAGCCAGTCCAGCCATAGGAACTTTGCTTTTGATATCTGGATTCAGGTTTATTCTTTTATTGCTCAGGGTTAGACAGTGGAATACTAAGAACCAAACCCTCCTTGGCTGTTAGGAAATGCTTCTATGCCCCACCATAAAAAGCACCTGCTATATGTTCTCTTCACGCAATTGAATTGTTTTTCTCTTTGCTCATGACCTTAATATACAATTCATTTTTGGTGAGAAGGGGTGTTGTGCGTAAACTGCAGATAGTAAAAGGGAAGGGCATGAGGTAGACCAGGCATCACTGTTTGAGTACAAGCTAGACAGACCTACACGTTAAGGGAACTGGAAAACCAGGAGCTGTCAGGGGGTCCTCGGGGGTGGTGCCCTGGCTTTGAAAATCCAATACAAAGGGCAGCAATACCCGGGACTGAGGGTCGCTTGGAAAAGAGAGACGGCTATAAGGAAGGATGGCTAGGTATTGCAACAGAGAGAGGTAGTAAGAATGTAGGTCACAGGCACATTCTGTGATATGAGGAATTATTTTGGTGTGGACATGAGGAGTGGGAGACACTGAGGGAATCAACGGAAACTTCTGAGAGTCGTAAGTGGTTCTCCAGCTTCCTGGGAATCAATCAGAGTTACTCCAGCACCATAATTTTCAAACACGGTAGTTAACTAGCTGACAATTTAGAGGATAAGAAACAGTGCTGATAAACCCAAGGAGGACATTAGGGTGTGTATTGCTGTAGTATGCCCGCAATTTTTAACCATTCTGCGTGTATCTGGCATCTGTCTCCTGCCTACACACCTTCCATCATCTCTCCTTTCAGCCATTGTGTGTGTGAAAGTGTATGCTCCTATTTCTTTTTCACTTATTTATGTTGTGTAACTTTCTAATTTTAGTTTAATTCTGCCACGATTTTCCTATACATAACAGTTATAGAGTTATGGATTCTCTCTTCACTAATCTGTCAGCAATTTAAAATTTAGCTTGAGTTTACATTTTCTCTAGTTGAATACTTCTGCACAAGGAATTATTTTGGATGCTTCATTAATGGAAATATTTTGGTTCGAAGAAGAGAGCCCAGGGCCTCTTTCATGCTATATCTTTGATGAGATAACTAAATATTACAAATAATCTCCTGATTTATGTAAAAAAAAATCATTGCAACTTATTTTCCTCCCTTAGTTCCTTGGTTCCAGTGTTTTTCATATGAAACATTGATTTCATGCTTACAATCGTATAACTTTAATTTCCTCCATTCCATATATTATTTACAATCTGATAGTAAACTGAAATGAGTTGATAGACAAGTTTAATTAATTTCATTATATTTGCATGCATATTGATGTTGTAATATTTCCGTGCTCCTTCAGATGACTCAACTTTAAATGCTTGTCATTGATTTCTACTTTTATTTCACTGATGTCTCATTAGATACAGAAGATAATTTCAGTGTCATTGTACTTTTTAATGTTTTATTTCTGGGCTGTGATGTGATGGTTTTGGAGAAGGTTCCATTAGCAGTTGAAAACATTTGTATTCCTTATCTATTGGGTGGTATGCTCTGTTTATATCTGTTAAGCCCAGTTGATCCATGGTATATTTTATCTCTGAAATTATTTTGCTTGTTTTTAGTTTAGAAGATCTTTTTAAATATGGGTTGGGTATTGAAGCCCTCCAATTTTGCTGTGTCATATTCGAAGTGGCCTTTTATGCCCTATAGTGATTGTTTTATGAAATTAAGAGGCTACAAATGTTTGCTTCATAATTATCATAACTTTTAGATGAATTCTTTTATTATTATTGAATTAGTCCCCATCTCTTCTAATTATTTTTAGTTCAAAATATACTTTAATCACCTGTAAAGGTAGCTGTGCCTGCTTGTTTACAGTTTCCATTTGCTTGGTAATCTGCTTTCTCTGCTTTGGTACTCAATGTGTGAAAACCTATCTGTTGAAATGGACTTGTTCTTCAGTTTTTCCTTCTTCTTCTGACTCTATTTGGATGTTTCTATATGGATATTTCCAGAGGGATGTCCAAATAAAGTTCAGCTATGGGGCCAGGTAAAACTTGGCGCTGACTGCCATATATGGCCAGTGGGGCAATTCTACCTTGACTAGAAGCCCGCAGAAGTAAGGGTGAGGCTTCATGCTGGTCATCAAGGTGATCAAATGAAGTCCAAGCCCTGGCCCTACAGAATTTTATGAATCACTGTGAGTATACAGTCTCCTTCTCTACTCTTCTCTGCCAGGTGTTGTCTCCCTTGGCCAAGAATCTATTCCACAAGGCCATTTCTGAAAGTGGCGTGGCCCTCAGTGCGGGCCTGGTCAAGAAGAACACCAGGGCCTTGGCTGAGGTAAATTCCACACTGGGCAGTGCCTGTGCCCTTTTGTCCTCTCTCCTCATGAACCTGTCCTGCTATGGGATACAGCTGACATTTTCAATGGCCAAGCTTGTTTTGGGCTCACAGGTAGGCCAAGCCGTGTGAGCTCTGAAATTATTTGGGGTGAATCATGCTCCTTACACACAGCAATTTGGTGTGGTAGTAAGGGTTACCCTGAGCACATCACATCTTTTATTTCTCCTCATAGGATAGATGCAGTTCATAGGTGAGTGGCAATGCTACCTGGTAGGAGCATGGAGAAAGTAGCTCTACATCAGACAGTAGAATTCTCAGTTCTTTCTCTTCACCACACTGCACATGGCTTCTCTTAATGCATCCACATTCACAATATTGTGCCCAATTAACAAGTTATTTTTGTTTATTTAAGACAAGGTCTCACTATGTAACCCTGGCTGACCTGAAATTCACTTTGTAGAATAGGCTGACCTAGAACTCACAAAAATCCACCTGCCTCTGTCTCCTAAGTGCTAGGGTTAAAGGCATTTGCCACCACACCCAACTCCACTTACCATACTATAAAGTAACACAGGCTCCAAAATTTAAATATTCTGTATCAAATCCCAATTACTAACAGAGGCAACGCTCTGAGGGGCCCAGACCCCACAGCTCCTGGTATTGGGAATTTTGGGCAATTATGTATCATTAGAGTGTGGGTATTGGATAGAATTCTAGGATGTATTGACAGAGGTATAAATACTGCTCTTGACCTTTGCTGTGGCCTGTGATCTGATGAAGAAAATTGTTGCTGCATCTGGTTGTGAAAACACCACCTCAGCCACCATGGTTCACTGCCTTCGCCAGAAGACAGAGAAAGAGCTCTTGGAGACCACACTGAAATTGGTAGGTGTGCCTGTCTGAGGGGTCCCCAACCTTGTACTTTACCCTGGACTTCTCTTCATCTGTTTTGTAGTTTTGGAAAAGATACTTGGGACTTTTTCTTGCCTCTTGGCAACCATGTCAGCCTTCTGTATTATTGAGGTTGTTTTTTTATCTCTCATCAGTGGTTTTTCATTATAAAACATCACTTGGCTGGTTTAGAAGCTATCTGAATTATAACAGTTCCTACCTAACTTTTCTGTGCTTTCAAAGACTACTGTAAAAAGGACAACTACCTGCCTACCCGTCTTTCAGTCTTTCATCTGTCCACCCCTCCATCCATTTCATTGAAACAAGTCCATCAGTCTTGTTGAGATCTATCATAACTTGTCACTTACTGTCAGTTTGACCATAATCTATGAGCCATTTAGCCAGCATCTGTAACTTTTCACCCAATCCTTTAAACGGTTGTTGGCGTATCTTTCCCATTCATGACCAGTTCATTTAGTGGCCAACTCCATCAATCCAACCATAATAATTTTGGGAGCATGGTGTCAGGGTAGGAGATTCAAGAACAGACTTCACGTTTTCTCTGCTTGCCAGAATAACCCACAGATAAAAACAATCGTATATTGACTGGATTAAGTGTGTTGGGAATACAGAGAGATGACACATTCATTAGAGCCAGCCAAGAGATATTGCTAAGAGAAGGTAACATTTGAGGACTGACTGATGCTTTTGGTAGTTTGTTATCATGGGGAACCTCACAGGAAAATATGAAAAATAGGGCATGCAGCGACGTAATAACTGGTTTCTTTGTAAGGGTGATATCTTGGGATTCAGCTGAGAGCCTGATCTCTTCATATGGACTTTGCACACTAGTGGCCATTTCTCTATCCTCATGAACCACATCTAGTACTCTGATCCTCTTGTAACTCTATGGGTTGAGTCCAATATGGCCATGGGTCTTGGGTTCTGATAGACCACATACACGCGCGCGCGCGCGCGCACACACACACACACACACACACAATGAAGTCCATGTTTTTCAGAGTTAAGCTCAGCTGTATTCTTTTTCTCCTTGGATTTGTAAGTTGGCCTCAATATGTATTTAGGTAGCCTTACTCTCAGTTCTTCTGTATCACCATCTTCTGTGGGTGATACAGGTCTTCTTGTTGATGTCTGTTTCACAGCTGTTTTTGAATACCCAGAATTGGAAATTATGTCTTCCATCCATAGGGAGTGCCTGTCACATACGGGATTACTTTGTATCTTTGGGATGCTCCAGAGAACATAAGATCGCATGACATATTTCTAAGAGTTTTTAAGATGCTTCTATGACTCTTCACTAAGTAGAGAGAGAGTGGAAAAGCAGAGAAAGCCTGAGCAACATGGTAAATACACAGCACAGGAAAGTGTGCAGTGGAATGATTTAAATGAACACAGGCTTTGGAGTTTTCCAACACAAGACTAGAGCATTCACATCAGGATTGTGTTGAGGCTGAGTCTTCCAGTAACTAAGACCTAAGATGCTGAGGAGCAGAGGGCTCAGGATGCAGCTGGATCGAGGTGATGAGAGCATGTTTAGGTTTTTCCAGTCTTTATCCTTATGTTTGCCATCATTTCTGGCTGACTTCTCCATGCAGGAGGTTTGCTCCCTGGGAGGCTGAAGATAGCAGCATTCAAGATCTATGTGACATCTCTTTGGAAGCCAACCTTCTCCAAACTCTATCTATATAATTGGTATAAAGCCTATGCTGTCTTGTAGGTATCTTTAAAATGCGCTTTATATTCAGGGGCAGGGCAACCCCATGTCACATGTAGTCGCCTAAACTTACAATGTCAGAATAAGGAAGAGGAATGTAAGGGCTAGGCCAGTGTTTTCAGGAGAAACCACTCCAGCCCACTTCTGTCCATCTCATTCCTGTCTCCCTTCAAGTCATCATATGCCCCATAGACCATGTTTTCACAGAAACCTTGAAGTGTCACCAAAGAGAGCAAGTAGGGAGAAAGATGAAGAGGACAGGCGCGCGCGTGCACACACACACACACACACACACACACACACACACACACACACACACAGTGCCCATGCACAGAGGACGCTGTAGGAATCAGGAGAGAGAGACTGATCAGTCCCCAGACACAGCTCAGAGAATCAGCTTTGCACAGGGAAGGCTTCGTAACACATCCCTGTCTTCTCTTCACAGAATCTTTTTAAGCTGGATTTGCATGGAGACTCCAGGCAGGTAAGGATCATTGCCTTCTGGCTTAGACATGTTTTGAATCTTAACAATGCTTTTACATCAGAGAACTGTAAGTGATCCTTCTGTTTGTGGAATTCTGGTCATTCCTCTGTGTGCATTGTCGAGGCTGAGAGAAGGGAAACCACCCAGTCACTTGTCAATTAGCACAGCAGATGGATCAGAGGCAGGAACTGAACTTAGCCCTGACTCTCTGTAGAGTTCTACTGGTCAACAACTTTGTACTCTGGGCGTGTTCTTCCCCACTCATTCGCATTCCTCATTCCCAAAATGAGTTTGCAGGGAGAGGATTCACTAGAACTTTCCACCCTCAAGAGACACAGATGCCTACCTAAGGGTTTTTTGGGAGGAGGAGAGCTAATGAGCTATGCAGGCAGGAGCCTGGACTTTTACTCTCCTATGACTTCAGAAAGTTCATCATCACCCTTAATTCTCCCTCTCCCAGTTGTTGTCCTCTCTGTTTAAATTCCTAAGAATCCCAAACATCCACGAAGGGTCTAATGAGAGTGAAATGAGATTCTTCCTGTTATTCAGTAATGATTTAGGAAAGACTCGCTCTATGTCAAAGGCTATTTAATAGCTGGGACATGACAGTGAAGTATGGATAATCTTCTGCTTTCTTTGAGAGTTCTGTCCTAGTAGGGGAGGGGTGTTGCAGCAGAAGAAAATGTACTAACATGTAATAATATATGTTTCCTATTGATTTGAATTAAATTAATTGGGAGGTGTGGCAAGAATTGGCCCATGGTGTTCTGTAAGTAGCAGAGTCAGAGGAGATGTCCCTTAAGTATTCATGGCTGAAGTTTGTGAGGGAAGCTCTGAAAGGGACAAGGATGCCAGCAGTCAGGAAGGCTGGTCAAGAATGCTATAGGCAGATGGAAGAGCAGCTGCCAGAAGGCTTGTGTGTTTGGGATGGAGGCAGAGAGGAGGAAAGAGGTTGGAAGCTGAGTTGGTCATGGATGTGGGAAGGGAGACACCACAGATGGGACTGTGACCCCCACATGAAGCGGGCATGTCCAGATGGCTTTGGCAGAGCAATGACCTGATGGATTTACAACAGTCTCCTGGACTGCAGTGTGGAAATAGTGCAATCAATGTGAAGGAAAGAAATAGGGCAGATGCTAAGCCCATCTGAGAGGTCCACCCAAAGCAGCTATATAGACAGAGGTTCCTAGTGGGTTACACCAGGCCTAGAGCAGTGTGACAATATTTGAAGTCTGGACAGTTTTGAAGGAATATTTGGCAACACTTGACAATAGACATTATGTTGTAGTTTGTACTTCTCTCATGTATTTTGTCTTTGTTCTCTATAGTTAATTTTTAACTCTAACATGGCTTAGTGATATCCCAACCAGGTAAAGTCTAATTGTTTTTCAAAAATAGTTAATTCAAAATATTAATACAGACATATAGCTCACCATCCACCATGAATCTTATAAATTATTAATTTAGTTACTTGCTAAAGTGAACATATGAGCCCTGGGTCAACAAGTGTGACATTGCTGGGGTCATCTGCAACACCCGCACAGATCAATGAGAGGTGTGAGCCATCCCATTTGCAGTAAAGCTTTATCTCCTTGTCTCATCATTCCTAATCACATATGTCCACTTTGTGGGCTATTTACTGCCATTTTTCAGTGCTTGCTGTTCGAAGTGATTTCTCTGCTTTAAGATGCTCTAGAGCACAGTGATGCCATAGGGCAAGTGTCCCCAAACAAGACAGGCCAGGACCCTTTGGGAGAAAACAGGTGTGATAGGTAGACTTATGCCATGCTGAGTTATGGTGTCTCTTGACCCTGAAGTCAGTGTTGATGAGGCAACATGACAATACATCCAAAGAGAGAGAGGAAAATTACCTAACTCTTGGGAAAGCCATGCTAAAGAGTAGTCATGTGATTCCTTTAGTGAAGAGATTGGAAGAGATTGGAAGTTAGGTAAATTAGTGGATTCATGAGATGATTCATTTAAAAATCATAGTAGACTTCATGGTTGTGAATCTGAAGCCAAATAAATTTATTCTTATGTTACCCATGGTTGGGGAAATACTAAGTCCTATTGAGCTGGTGTTTTATTATAAGTTCTATACATGCATTTTTGTGATAAATCTATGTTTTATAACTGAGACCCACATACAAGACAAGGATGATGTCAATGTTGTGAGCAGGGGTTGTGAGCAAAGCAGGAACTTAGCTCTGGAATTCCCCAACAGCAGTGGCTCAGGATTCACAAATGCATCATTTGTGTCAATTTTACAGGCGTAACTGTCAGGCATAATGGGAATCACTCTGGATGATATAACCTACTACAGATGGAAATACGTATTCTAAAATGATAACTTAATTTCAGCTAAGGGCCCTTCTGTTCCTTTTCTCCAACCTTCAGTGTACCACTGAGATACCCCTAATTAGGCCCTTAGTGGCATATAGACCCTTAATTTCATTCTTAGGACCCTAAGTTCCCATGGCTTCTACCTGAGCCACGGTGTCTATTTTCTGGCTGTTTCCTTAGAAAGTCTGAGAGGGGAATGGGTTATCTCTGGCGCTGTGTTTGTCTCTTCCCCAGAGCTATCCCTTTATTCCCACTGTGCTGGATGGAGTGGTGCTGCCAAAGATGCCCAAAGAGATCCTGGCTGAGAAGAGCTTCAACACCGTGCCCTACATTGTGGGCATCAACAAGCAAGAGTTTGGCTGGATTCTGCCAACTGTGAGCATAAACAGACCTATTAGAGAAAGTGCTCCCTGTCACCTACCCAGCATTCCTCCAACACGGGCTCTTTCTTGCCCAAGTTCTGCTTGTGCTTAGGGAATGTTTGCTGCCCAAGCTAACTTTAATCCTGTGTGATCCAGTTCTGGGAATCCTGTCTCAGTAAACACTTTGTCATTCCATTAAACTTAGGTTCTTGAAGGATCTAGGCTGAGAGGGCCTAGATGAATGTCAAACAGCATGACGTCTCTATATGGGAAAGGACCGGAAGTTCAGCAGAGTCTGAAGGGGAACCACAGCTTCTACCATGAACCTGGACACACTTTTCATAAATCTCCAAATATGCTTTAATTTCACATCATTGAAAGATTCAAAGTTAAAATACACTTTTAAAGGGAAAAATGGCTTTTCCTGTTCAAAGATAACAGCAAGAGCCAGACATTAAGTACAAGAGTAAAGCAGGTTTCATTCGCTAATAGGGTAGCAATAGGGAGAAGCTTGAACATGGTCTGAACTCAAGTCGCAGACAGAGACATCACTAATCCTGGAGATGTTTCAAGGCTAGGGAAGCCTGGAGAGGAACAGTGTGATTTGTGGAGAGTCTGTGTAGCCAGACATTGGATTCCTTATCCAAACATTATTCAGAACTCATCTGCAGTAGAACCACACTTCGTGAGAGGTAGAAAGAATTTCAAGGGGCAGTAAGGCCACCACAGAAAAAGAATTGTCATCCTGTGTGTTTACACTAGGTTACAAAAAGATTCATGATAGTTATTCTCAAGCATTTGGGACCTTGGGTGTGAAGTTCCCATAGGTAGAGAAGTGAGGCTAACCTCGGGATTTCTATAGTAAGTGAGTGCTCTGGGGCAGCTCTCAGGGTCTGTCTGTCCACAACCATGATTTAGCTGGAGAAGAGTCATTTCTCCTGAAAGCAGCAGGCTTTCCCAGCACAGTCATTATAGGGAGACCAGGGTTAGTCTATCATGTGGCTTTCAGTTGCGAGAAGTTAAGTCCCTGCATAATACTGAGACAGGCTGAGAGTTCTACAGCTCACTGCAGAAAGATTTTGTAGATATTAAAGAATATAGCAGATTTTTGCATTGTCTTTTTGTCTGTGAGGTTTTGTTCCGTCTCTGCTTTGAGGTTTTTGAGCCCCTTGGCCTGATCAATACACATAATTAGAGTATCTTTTTCATGCCTGGATTTCTGTATAAATCCATCTGTTTTACTGATTGTTTTAAAGCTCATAACAAGCATGCCCATCAAAGCTCAACTAATACTTTTATTGTGCTTTGTTATAGTTACTTGGTCTGTTTGTTTCATTCTACTAACTTCTGAGGATTCATAGATGCTAACCACATTTTCGTTATTGTCTTCATTTATCTATTTATTTATTTATCTATTTATTTTACACCCTGATCCCAGCCCCCTCATTCCTCTCCTCCAAGTTCCACCCTCCTTCCCCCTCCCTCTATCTCCCCCTCCTTCTCAGAGAAAGGGAGGACCCCCAAGGGTACCAACCCACTGTGTTACCTCAAGTTGCAGCAGTCTCTCCCACTGAGGCCTGATGAGACAGCCCAGATAGGGGAAAGGGATCCAGAGGTAGGCAAAAGAGTCAGAGACAGCCCCTACTCCCATTTCTAGGGAACCCACATGTTGACCACACTGCATATCTGCTACATAGTTTAGGGAGTCTAGGCCTAGGCCATGCATGCTCTTTGGTCTGTGAGCCCCCATGCTAACCATGTTTTTACGTAGATGATGAACTATCCACCCTCTGACATGAAAGTGGACCGGATGACAGCCACATCTCTCTTGAAGAAGTCGTCTTTTATTCTTGTAAGCAACCCGGGGATTATGGCAACTGGTTGAGGAACACAGAAAACCTGAGAACTTGCCCCAAATTACAAATGTGCTATGTATCAGAAAAAGAATGGGGTCTTCCTGATGTCTCCATTTTTCTGATGTTCTCACATCAGAATTTGTTCAGGGTTCAAGAGGTTCATCGTCAATAAGGAGGCTGGAAAAGTTACACAAGTCATGTGATAGTGGTCATTTTCCTTATCCATGCTAGAACCTCCCCGAGGATAAGATTCCCATGGCCGTTGAGTATTATTTAAGAGACACAGATGACCCAGGCAGAAATAAAGACCAACTTCTGGAGCTGATCGGGGATGTGGCCTTGGTTGTCCCATCTGTGATTGTCTCCCGTGGACATAGAGGTGAGTCCCAGACATTGGACACTTATTTTACCACTTTTCTCTCAGACTTGCCTATCTCCCAGCATTTGAAAATGTGAAACTGCTGACATCAAGCCTCTAAGTCTGACTTTTTGGCCTTATCATGGTATTGTTCTCTCTTATTTGTGCCAATGATATCATCTGCAGAAAGAATTGAAATGCAAGGGAGTAGCCCAAAAACCATGAGGTGGGACATGAGGAAGTGACACAGGAAAGAAATGGAGTCCAGTAAATGATGCCAGGCTAAGCATATATTCTCTGGAGCTGGAGCTGGGAAGGGCTGGGAAACAAGCAAAGCACACATCTCAAGGTGATCCATCTGAATAGTGTTTGATCTAACAATGACCACTTCCCATTAGGCTAATCCTGGCCCAAGGGGTTGCTGTTTCTGTTGGGTTGCTGTGCAGAGAAGCTTCTAGTATGTTATAACCAGACAAAGAGCCTTTAGGTCAAGAGTGACAGATGGTAGAGGCAGACCGAAGTCAGGCCATGAACAGGAACAAGTGTCGCACCAACAGCATCTGTCACAGGGTTCCTCATCTGAAGTTCCTCATCTGCTGGTACGTGGGTTTAGTATTTACCAAATACTAGGTAATGTTTTAGAACGGGTTTGATGTCAGAGCTAGTTTTAGAGTACTTTACAGAGGGAAGAGTGGAAATGAGGTACAACATAGGGAAGGCTGTTTCTGACCAAGGAGGTCAGTGAGGGAGAACTGTGTAAGGTAGGAATGTAAACACTCTCAGTGTTCTTGCCTGGCTTCTGTCCATCTTAGTGTGCCAATGTGTTCAGGCTGGGCCTGTCACAGAACCTTCCCATGTGACAGGTGCCGGGCATGGGTGTGAGCTTCGGGATAATAAGCTCACCCTAGGGATGGTGACCTCTGTGGTTGCCATGTATGGAGCCCATCTTTTCCCCAGCTTTCACTCACTCAATCAGCAATCCAGCAAACAATGCTCTGTTCTGGATTACTCTCCCTAACTTCCTGGGAGAGATTTTAAGAATTTTACTTTATATTTGATTTATGTGCAAGTGTGTGTGTGTGTGTGTGTGTGTGTGTGTGTGTGTGTGTGTGTGTCCTATTTCTGCTGGTTCTGGCAGAGGCCAGAAGAAAGTCATAGGAATCAAATACAGGTCCTCTAGAAGAGAAACAAGTCCTCTTAACCACAGAACCATCTTTCTAGCCCTTAGAAGGGATTTAAAATCTGTGTTTGCATCCATGATGTAAACTAGCTATAGGGGCTACCTACTGGTACTTCAGTTTTCCCAGTTGTGGGCAAGAAGAACAGGGGCGAACACAATGCTATAATGAGGAGAGAGACAGAAGGAACCTATGTGCCAGTACTGACAACTACATATGTGTTTGTATAATGCAGTAATAATATATGTAAATGATGTAAATAATGGAAATACAAGGTGATGTTGCAGTTTACAAGCCAATATGAAATAATTACTGTAACTTTGCTGCCACAGCAAATTTCATTTAATGAAAACATCTGACATTTCCTTCAGCATTTTAAAATAGTCTTTAAGAACATGTTTGGGTTTTTTTTGTATCACATTGTACAATGTAATTCAAAATGAAAAATGGAGTGGGTGAGAGAGAGCTCAGCAGGTAAATGTTCTTGCTCCCCAAACTGATGACCTGAGTTCAATCCCTGGGACTCACATGGTTGTCTTCTGACCACACATGCACTGTGTCCGGCCCATCCCAAGACAAAATACAAATAGGCAAGTACAATAAAAAATTTTAAAGATGAACGGAATGATTTTAGGACAGCCCACTACACCCTACCTTCAGGCTGTGGCCCTTTCACTCTTTGATGTTCTGAGCTCTTTTGTTGAAGCTCAATGTATATCTTTGTATAATGTGTATACTTGCCTACCTAAGCCTGACTTAGTCCACTGAGCATATAATTCTCCATCTTTATGTGGGTTGTCATAATGGCAATGAACGCATCTTCCTTTTTAAGAGCATGCATTATTCCATCTACAGTATAACATATTTTTTATTTATTCATCTATTGATAGACACACAGTAATTCCATAACCTGACTTTGGTGAGCAGTGCAATCATTTCAAATCAACGTGCTTTAAACAGTGTCCTTGTGTTTTGTAGTACACACGTTGTAGGAATGATTTTTCTTCTCTCTTCGCCCTTGCCCACGCTAGTTGTTATTGTTTGATTTTTATAAAATGCATTCAGACTGGGAAAGATGCTACCTAATTGTGATTCTAATTTACATTGCATTAATGGTCGTTGATGTTAACAAATTTTGTTTATCTGTTGTCCATTTTATGCTTTTAAAGAAATGTCTACTCAGGCCCTTGTCATTTTCTTTTCTTTGTGAGAGAAGGTCTATCTATTTAGAAAAAGCCAAAGGCCTCCTCCTGCCTCCTTGTCTCAACTGCCAAGATTACAAGGGGTCTCCCATCCTGACAGTAGTTTGGATTCTTACCCAAATACATGGGTTTTGTTTTGCTTTTTTTCTTGCAGTTTAGTTGTTCACATTCCTTAGATAATTTGTATAGCAACCCTTTATAGCATATATCATTTGAAAATACTCCCTACCTTGTCCACATGCGCGCACACACACACACACACACACACACACACACACACACACACACACACAATCAGACATGGATTGTCTGTGTAAACTGTTCATTTCTTTTTCTTCCTGTGAAGAAGTTTTGCAGTGGGATATCCATCCCATTTCACTTTTTTCCCCCCCTGGGTTGTCTCCACTTTTGGGGTCAAAGCCAGAGAGCCATGTTCTACCCAGTGTCATATAGTTTTTCTTCTATGTTTTCTTATTGTTATTTCTCATTGTGAATTAGACTTATCACCCAGTTTTCTAGTTTTTCTTTGGTAAATCATGAGATAAGCATCTAGTCTAACAGGTCTGCATATGGGGATCCATTTTTCTGAACAGCAATTACTGAAGTGACTTTCTTTTTCCTTGTGTGTTCTTGGAATGTACCACACAAGAGGGAATGCTGTTAACTACAGACTATGTGTATCCTAGGTGAAAGAGACAACAAGCACAAAAAATTTTCTCATGAAATGGAAAGATGTGCCGTATTCTAATCACGGTTGACAGTGTGTTCTGGAATTCATTTTGGGGATCCATATAGGGTTTTATTGGTCAGTGTGTCTATCTTCTCTGTTTTCTTTTTGTTGTTGCAATTACTTTGTACAGCATGAAAGTATTGGATGAGACATTAAGTATTGTTCATATTGCTCATGATTGCCCTTAGTATGTGCATGTATATATGCATTTGTGTGTATGTATGCATGTTTACTTTCATTGACATCGGATTTTTGATAGGAATTGCACAGAACCAATAGAACACTTTGTATAATGTCTACGTTTTTTAATTTTTTTAGACAGGTCTCACGATGTAGGCTGGCCTGGAACTCACTATGTAGATCAAGCTGGCCTTAAAGAAGATGACTACCTGGGTTTTTTTTCCATCAGTCTTTAATGCTACATGTCACAAAAATGAATTATTTTTTTATCTCAGTGTCAAATCTTACCATGTTAAAATGGATTAGCATTTAAGTGTGCCATTACATTTTGTTTACTAGCATTTTATTAAGTGCTTTTACATGTATACTTATAGAAAATGTGTTATATTTTATTATATTTTCTTACAGTGTTTTTTTTTTGTCTTATTCTAGTTTGAAGGTAATGCTGTCCTGGAACTAGTCCCATTTCTCTTATTTTTAGAGAAATTTGGGGGGAATGTTTGGGTTGATACTAGTTTTTCTCTAAGTCACTCATCTGTAAAGTCATCAGAACGTGGTTGTCTCCTCGTTGATAGGACGCTTATGTTATCATTAATTTGATCTATTTATATTTTGTATGTGTGGTATACATATGTGTTTATGGATGTTCATATGTATGTTGGCACACACTTGTATGTATGAATGTGAATACCAGACTTCTGCTGCTCTCCACCTTATATACCAAGTCAGGGCCCCTGGCTTGAACTCAGGACTCAGTAGTTAAGCTGGTCTAACTTGTCAGCTTGCTCCAGGGATCCCCATCTCTGCCTCCAGCATGCCAGGGCTACACCAGTCTGTAATGCCACAGGCAGGCTGTGTTTACGTGCATGCTGGGTATCCACACACTCATCCTCACGCTTGTGTGGCAAGTTCTTCCGCAATGAGCTATCTCTCCATCCCTATTTCAATATGCTTTAAAATTTCCACTTGTTTCCATAGCAAGCATATTAGTGGACCAGGATCATGTTTCTTTCCATGACTCTATGCATTTTCTCAAATTCTTCCTGGTATTGATATCAAGTTTCAAACCATTGTGATCAGAAAAGATGCTTGCTCTAACTCCAGTCTTCTTGAATTAGCTGAGGGTTGTGTTGGATCCTCAGGTAGGATCTGTCTTAAAGAAAGTTCTGTGGATGCTTAAAATACTAGCATTTTGGGGTAGACAAATATGTGCAATTAATTAGATTGAGTCTTCCCAAAATACTGATCAAGATTTGTGTTTCTTTTCCCTCATATGGATATTATGTTTCACTCCTGCCCAGTGCTAAGCACATGAAGAAGCTTTTGTTGAACTGTTTCTTTATTTCACTTACACTCAAAAGGTCTCCTGCATTACAGAGGCCTTGATATCGTCCACACTTGTATCTAGCAACACTAATGGTAAGTGATTCTGTGTCTTCCCAGATGCCGGAGCTCCCACCTACATGTATGAGTTTCAGTATCGTCCAAGCTTCTCACCAGAAATGAAACCCAGCAATGTGGTAGGAGATCATGGAGATGAAGTCTACTCTGTCTTTGGTGCCCCGATTTTAAGAGGTAATGGTGCTTTGGGGTCTGTGAGCTTGGGATTAGGAGGTCTGGGTTCTAGTCTTGTGTCTGTGGCCTTGAATGCATTTTTCCTCTCTTGACATTCACTTCCCAACTCAGTGGAACAGTGCTAAACTCAACTGTCAAGTTCCCAGCCTTTCTCCCACTCCAGCATACACAAGGAAAGTTACATACTCATGTGTAGCCAGCAATACTCTGTATTAAGATCTTGATCAGTAATAGTACCAAGAGAAAAGTATCACCCAGGTGTCCCATTTGAAGACAAGAATACCACTGATGCTCCATTTCCCACTCAAAATAACCTATCAGAATGTGAGTGAGGATGAGGTCAAGATGTTTCAGACCATGAGTCTGTTGCCATGTGCATCTGACTGTCTGTATGCATACCTACCTACATGTAATGTTTTCCCTATATTATAATTAAGAATACAATGTTTAAAGAAAACCTTTCAGAATGTATTCCGTACCTTAACTTCCAACAGTTGCCATTATTCATGACTGTGAGGCATCTCATGGCTCTTTATGACATACCCGGAGCAGCTCCCAGAGCCTTTGTGCATGTAATTATAGGTTTGAGGGGAATACTTAAGGGACAACCCTGTGATCCACTGGAATTCTTCATCTGTGGCATTTATGTATCAAGAAGGCTAGCACTGGACATGGATGAGCTCCAGCAGAATGCACTACATGTCTGCTGTGTCTTAGATCAATCGTTCCCAAACTGAAAGTGTACAGCAACCAAGAAGAACCTTCTAGTAATAAAGATTTCGATTCCACAGCTTTGGTGTGAAAGCCCAAACTCTACTTTTCTAATAATCCCCTATGTGATATTTTTCTCCTTAGCTCATGAGCCATGAACTGAGTCAATAGATTATTTTTATTCCCCACAGAAGGTGCTTCAGAAGAGGAGATCAATCTCAGCAAGATGGTGATGAAATTCTGGGCAAACTTTGCTCGGAATGGGTGAGTCTGGTGACCCAGGTTGGCGGGTGAGATGAGACAATAAGGGAGATGAATAGGAAGGTGTGGCATTTGAAAACTTGGGCAATTGGCTCCAACCTTGTGGCCACAAGACTCTGCCAGTGGTGTTCCCATTTCTTGTGGTGCACAGGTCTTTGGAAAAGATAAACCAAAGATCTCTATAAATATAGGAATGTGGGGAACACACAACAGCTTTAAGGAATTCTACTTGATTCTGTTTTCAGGAATCCCAATGGGAAAGGGCTGCCTCATTGGCCAGAGTATGACCAAAAGGAAGGGTATCTGCAGATTGGTGCCACCACCCAGCAAGCTCAGAGACTGAAAGACAAGGAAGTGACTTTCTGGACTGAGCTCCTGGCTAAGAAGCCACTCCAGACAGGACATACTGAGCTGTGAATGGGAGGCTCTGCCAGCAGCCTCAGAAGACCAGAGGAGCCCAAATGAGGCTACTCCAATGAAGGTGATATTGACCAAGGATAGGCTATTGGGGAGACTAGAGAATTCTTAAGTGGGAGTGGAAAGATGATATGGAGATATTTGCACAGATTCAATTTGGGAAATAAATGTTGTTTTGTAAATCAAATGAATATGGAGATGAATCTGTGCTTCTTGGAGAGAGGCCATGCCATCAGAAGATGCCTCTGCAGAAAATGTTTGGGGAATGATTATCCAGAAATCTAAAGGAAGACAGACATGGGGGAAGAGAAGTGGAAGCAGATAGATTTCCTTCTATCTGCTTCTGAGTGATGACATCAGCACATGAAGGAATGGACATTTAAAGGGTTTAGTGGAGTGTTAAGGGGACACGGAGGCAAACAGAGTACAAACACTCTGGAAACACAGACCCAAGGAGGAGTTACACACATAACTGACTTTCTCATGCATACCTGTAATATGTTTATGAGAAAAAAAATCAAGAGCAGGTAAGGCATAGGCATGAAGCCTTGCTCAGAGTTCTTTATCCTGATGAATGAAATCCATAAGGGGAAGTACAAGGCTTTTTTGCCTCTGAAAGCTTGGTAAAGACTTACTGAGACTGAAGAAAAGTAATTAAGCACATACCTGGGTGAGGACGGTAGGAAACTGTCCTGGGTAGTGTTATGAGCTGTTTATTGCTGTTCAGGAAGGGCAAGGTCACAGAGAATCTCCATTCTAATATCCAGACCATGGAGTCCTCTTAAGAATTCTGGGAATGGGATTGGATGGCACACTCCAGTTAGCAGGTAATGGTACCAATACCAGATTTCCAATACTGAAGAAAATGAAAGCACAGGAGAGACCCCCGTGAAGGGTGTATCCATAGGTCAGGCCAAAAGCCAAGTACTGAGCAAGACATAAGCCCTTCTGAATCAGCCCTCACATAAGTGTTAACAATGCACTGGCTAACGTTAACACAGTTTGGAGGAGGTAGTGGTTATGGTAGCTAAGGAGAGAACACAAATCTTATACTACTTACATTCTACACTATAAAAATTCAAGTCCTTTATCATACATGCAGGCGCAGACACACACATACTCACACGTGCATTATAAAAGAATGGCGTTTCACCAGATTAACAGAAAAGCAAGAATGCTCATGTTTGTTCACAGAAGCCATCTACTTCAGTTTATTTTTATAGACATTGTATCAAATATTAAATGCAAAAATTACAGCCATGGAAAAGAAACCCCATTAATAAGAGACAAAATGATCATCAGCCCGTCTAGATTGAGTAATAACACAAGTGTTGGGTCGAGCAGACTGGGGCTTTTAAATAATGATATAGGAAACTTAGATGCTCATGGGGTATTTTCAGCAGAGACACAGACACAGGAAGAAATGCTTTCAGCATTTTCATGTTTCCATGAACCCACAGCAAGTTTCTGCTCACTGACTGACTGGGAGTCAGCCTGTTTTGCTCAGAGGAAAAGAAAGAAAGAAAAACTTTCAACAAATTACTGAGAGAAGTTTGCAGCAGGAAACCAGCCTGTAAACCAGAGCTGGTAGGAAGCAAGTAGTCACATGAGCTGGAGACTTTCCAGCATCACCCAAGTGGCAGGGAAGGCTACAGTTTCAATGTACCACCACACGCCTCACACTCAGTGTGTATGTCATAAAACCACAGCACATCGTAACTTCCAGAAGAGAAAAGAAGTGTGTGCTGGCCACTGCGATGAACACTGCCCTCTGTCAGCCTAGGCTTGGCTGTGAGAACAACACTGGTGCTGCCCATCCTGGCTCATTTTGGTGATCAGAGTATCAGAGGGGTTACAATTCAATTGGCTCCACTTACAAAGTACCCTGCTGGTCATGGTGAGCAATACGAATACAGTTTGGGGGACTCTGTGGGTTCCTTCCACTGTGTGGCTCTCAAGGATGGAATGCAGGTGGCCGGGCAGCAAGGGTCTGCACCCACTGAGCCATCCCATAAACCCTTATTTTCCTCTTTTATTGTGTAGTTTCCCTCCCTTCTTTCACAGCTCTCTTCCTTCAATATCTTCTGTACTTTATTATAGTTACTTATTTGTAAACATTTATTACTTTCTAACAGAACAACATAAAAATAACACTGTTATTTTTCTCCTTTGTTTTTAATCTCCAAATAAAAATAACTGCCAATCTAAATTATTATGCCAACAAAGTTATTCTTCAAAATTGGAGGAAAAGAAAATGCTTCCAGAACACACATAACTAAAGAAATTTGTGAGTGCTAAGCCAGGGTTACAGAAGTGAAATAAAATCAGTCATGACAAAGGAGAAAGACTAAACCACAGTGAAAAAGAAAATAAGCAAATAAAGATCAGGTAGGGGGGAATCAAGCACTATTTAATTAAGAAGTAGCCAAATCTCTGGGTGAATAGAAGAAAAAGAAGCAGGCATGGACCACTCAAAACAACTAGAAGAAAAGAACGGAACAGGAGAACTAGTACTGACTGCTTAAAAACAATTCTGAATGTAAATGGCTTTAATACTCCAATTAAAAGACAGAGACTAGCTGATTGGACTTTTTTAAATGGACCCAACAATTTGTTGGAAACTCATTTCACTCATTTCAGGAAACTCATTTCACCATGAAAATGTTCCACAGGGAGGAAAGACATCAAGTAAATTGAATCTGAAAGCAAATAAGAGAAGTTATAGTTATACCTAACTCAACAAACTTCATGACCAAATGAGTCAGAAGAGACATTAATGAAGACAGAAACGCATCTCAAGATACAGTAATTGCAAGTAGTGCCTGTTCACAGATTGTTGGGGCACCAACACAATAACAATTATAATTGACAGGGACTCTAGTACAATGCCCTACTCTTACCAATACATATATCATCAAAATTTAAAAAGTGATTAAATAGTAGAATTAAATTACCCTAAATATCATATGGACTTGACAGAAATTCACAAAGAATTCCATCTCACAGATACAGAATCCACATTAATTTTATCATCTTATGTTTTCCAAACAAGTCATATTTTAGACAATAAAGCAAGTCTTAGCAAGCATAAAGAATTTATAAATATAAAAATTATAATAACTTCTCTCATTGTATCAGATCGTAAGGGAATAAAACCTTAAAACCGAGAGAAAAGTATGTAACATGGAGATTGAACAATATAATTTGCAATGAACAATGATTCATTTAAGAAATAGAGGGAAGAGAGAGAGGATTGCAAAAATTCCTTAAATGAAATGAAAACAGAAATACAATATATAGGACCCACATAAAACAAAAGTAGTCCTGGAGAAAATTTTATATCATGACTGTCTATACTTTAAAAGTCAATGCGTCAAATAGACTTAAATTTACAGAATAGTCCTTTCCAGAGCTGTAGAATACCTATTATTTTATCAGTTCATGAAACTTTTTCCAAAATGGATCAGTTGAAGAGATTGAATTTTTTATATATTTATGTTTATTATTTTAATTCACTTTACATCCTTGTTGTAGGCCCATCCCTCATCCCTCAGCAAAAAAAGCCCAATGTGAAAAATGAAAAGAAAACTAAAGATGCACAGATTTGAAGTCACAAAGATCAGCTTTATGAGAGGAGTGACCGAGGAAGCTGGACAGAGTGCTTGTGATCCAGTTGTGGAATGTTATCAAAAACTTTGATGTATTGTTTAATGCTATGATCTGTAATTAAGAGTTACACAAATTAAACTACTTAAAGACTAACCTAAGAAGGAGATTTAATCTTAAAGAAATTTAAAATTTCTAGAATCAAATGAAAGTGGAAACACAAGTATCCTAGTAGTGCATCTAGAGGACTTAAAGCATATACAAACCAAATACGCAGTAGTGGAATGAAAAAGCTACCCAGACACGAGAGTGTGAAGAGTCGGCATTGTGAGAACAGGCTAGGACCAGTAATTACAAGGACGCATCAACCCCATGAAAGGGAGGCCACACACTTTGGTAAATGTTTGAAGAATATGTATATACATGCATGCATGGATGATTAGAAGCAAGGACTGTGGTCAGTGGAGTTCATTTACTATTAGAACACTGTGTTCAAAAGTCTTTCTCTGAAAAGTAGACTTCCTTGACCCTGAGTATGCTCTGCGACCAGGTAGGTCACTTGGCAGGAATACTACAAAGATAATTTAGGAATCATCTGAAGGTTGACAGAGGGTAAGAGTCCTTCCTATCTTGAGAGCATGAATTCTAGGAGATGCTAGTCTGTGGAGGCTGAGAAATGTTTCCTCATTTCCAGCTGAACAGTGTGGGGATGTGATGTGCTCTAAAGTGGGCAGCTTCGTACAAGGACCCCAGACCAACACTTCCCACTACCTACAGGTACCTGCCTGCTGCTGACTGCTCTTGAGAGTTCAAGGTGCATTGAGCCGAAAGCGCTGAAGGGAGAAGGGCTTACATAACAAGCAGTTGGATGGGTTTCTGGCCACTTGAAATCTGAGTATTGGGTACTGGCTGTTCAGATAAAAGTGGGTAAACTCTTAGTAGGCGTGGCTTGGAGGAGGTCCCAACTGACACCCAGGGAGCTCTTTGGAAGGGAGATTTTTTTTTTTTTTTTTTTTTGGTCATCTTAGATTACATAACTGGGCGGATTGAGCAACACTTAGGGAGGCGGGCCCTTGGGTCTACAACAGCATTGCTACAGCAGCAGATATCACACAGACCCACGGAACACTTGTCCTTCCACAATGAGGCTCTACCCTCTGGTCTGGCTTTCTCTTGCTACTTGCACAGTTTGGGGTAAGTTCTTCTGGGTTACAAATGCCTGAGTTACATTTTTCAGTCTTTGTTCTGTGCACAAGTAGATGACAATGTGTGCAGGGCAAGGACAGAACAGCCCCAATCTCTTGGTGATATTTACTTTCTGTGTTTGAATAGTGCATCAAAGTTCCAAAGAACCTTAGTCTCACAGAGACATGCTGGAGGACAGACACCAGGAGACCCAGCTACAGGAGACCCAGGAGGGCTGAACAAAGCTTAGCCTGTTTCCCTGTGATTCTTAGGCAAGCTGCAAGCAGGTCACAGAGAGAGGCAGAGCAGAATGTTGAAAGCATAGACTCAGGAGTCAGATATAAGGCTGGCTCCTAACTAATAACTCCAACTTGATATCCTAAACTTTGCAGTGCCTAGG